ACACTGCAGTAAAGGGCAGCAGGCTGCGTATCCGTGTGGCAGTCACACACAGTGGATGAGACCCGTCGTCCTGGCCGGCCGTGGAGAAAGTACAGATGCAGGCTGTTGCTGCCGCCCTGGCGCAGGTGGCAGAGGGACAGGAGCGTGCCTTCCGGCCCATGGGGTGCTGGTGACTGTCCCTTTGTGCTTTGTTTCCTCTCCCCACCCCCGCCCCTGAAAAAGTGACAAAAAGTAGAGACCAAGAATGCAGTTTTCTCCTTTCTGTTTTTGTTTTAGTAAGAAGATTTACTGGGGCCAAGCGAAAGTACCTGGGGCGAGACCTAATTTCGCCTCGTATCAGTTACTTTTTAGGAGATGATTTACATTTCAAGCAAGTGTACAACAGGTTTTTTTTTTTTTTTTCCTTTTTGGAGAGGTTTTTGCTATAGGGCACGTGCACTTGCCACAAAGACAGAGAGATAGAGAGACAGAAAACGACAAATCCTCCCCCGACTTGGCGGCTTAAAACTCTCCCCAGGTGCGTGTGTGTGTGTATATATATGTATATATATATATATATATATATATATATATATTGCTGTAGGGTGTGTGCGCTCACCAGATAGACAAGAGACAGAAAGCAAGAAACCACCCCCCAGGGGGATGATCACACCACAATCCCTTTGCCTCCATTCTCTTGGGATCTCGGGCGCCTGCGTGTGCGCACACCCAGCAAGGTCTGGGACTTGAACCGTGGTCGACCATGTAGGAGTCCAGCAATGTTAACGCCATCTGCTTGTCCCGCAATAGACCTTTCTTGCTTTGAAAACTGTCCTTACTTTAAATACTTCTCTGGGACCAGCAGATGGCGTAGTGGTTACCTCACTGGACTTCCATATGGCCAACCATGGTTCATATCTGAGACCTGGTGGCCAAAGATCACCCTGGGCATGTGTGCATGTGTGCCCAACATCCTGGGAGGAGAATGGATTACAGTGTGGCCATCCCCCTGGAGGGTGATTTCTCACTTTCTCTCTCACTGTCTCTGTCTGGCAAGCACACGCACCCTATAGCAAAAACCTCTCAAGAAAAAAAATATGTATTTCTCAATATATTGATGCAAAATTTGCAAGACTCATAGATCATAGTGCTGGCTTTATAGGTGTCTCACCAGACTCATCAAATTCTACACATTACATACAGCTTTATGTATGTCAATCATACCTCAATAAAGCGGTGTAAAACTTTCACAAGGGGCTATATAGTTATTTACGCTGCCTGAATTTACCTTGTGGTGACCCAACACCTGTCATGATAAGGATGCTTAAAGCTGCAGCTGCCCCATCCTCCCGATGGGATAAATGAAGTCTGGAATGGAGTGTTGCTCATAGGCCGTCCTGCAGAACTGGAAACGCTGCCCACCTCGATGTCAGGCCAGCACCTGGCAAGGCAAGAGTGCCTGCGTAGACATGACCTTTCCTAGACCCACATCAGGCTCAGCTTCTCAAGGACCTAGAATGTCAAGGGGGAAAGAGAAAGGGAGAGTGGGAACGGGCTTCACACTAAACACAGCCGCCCGAAACGGATCAGCTAATCGGAGGTCTGTAAACCTAACCCTGGAGGCCTCACGAGCCGGTTAACTCGGTGTCCCAACACTCAGTGCCAAAACCCCCTTGGAGCTGTGTAAGCAAACCCTGCCCTTTGTGAGGAGCGAGTATTCCAGGCGAGGGTTATGAAGTCATCGCCATGTTTAAATTAACTTACTGTCAAGTAAGTTCAGAAGGGAAGTATGAATTTCCCCCCAAAAAATTTGCCCCTCGAAGACGTGGCATAAGCCAGGGCACAGTGTGCTTGGTGAGAGGTGACACCTCTTCAACTCAGAGGGCCTGGCACAGCAATGCCCACTGAAGTGCACTGCGAGCTGCAAGGGGACTGAAAACTCCAGGAGCCCCATTTGAAGCAAATGTAAGCAGGGGAATTTATTTTATCATCCAAAATATTACCACTTCAACATGTAATTGGTATAAAAAGTAATGAGATATTTACATTCTTCTGGCTTTTAAAAAAAAAACACTTATTTTATTTATTATTAATATTCTTCGATTTGACCAGAGAGTACGAGAGTGAGAGAGCTTCCAGGTATGGACTCGAACTGTGGTCGGCCATGTGGGAATCCAGCACCTTCACCACCACACTGCCTGCTATCCCCATTCTTATTTCTTAATGCTAAGACTTTAAATCTACTTTTTCTTGTTTTTGAAAGAGATTTTTGCTATTGGGCACCTACACTCACCAGAGAGAGACAGAGACAGAAAATGAGAAATCGCCTCGTGGGTGGATGGCCATGCCACCATCTTCTCCTCCATTCTTCTCCTAGGATTTTGGCAAGCACACATACATGCCCGGTGTGCTTCAAGCCTCTGGGTCCAGGACTTAAACCGCGGTCAGCCATGTTGGGCGTCCAGCACCCCAACCACCATGCCACCCACTGGCCCTAAATCTGCTTTCTTACATTTAACGGCTTGTCTCAATAATCTAGAGCCTTCAGAGTCACTAAAATTAGTCTTCGAATGACCTCTTTGCCACCAGCTGGCACAGATGCCACCGACCTGGGATGGAGTTATGTCTTCTGATCTGTCCTCACTGACCCAGGGCGGAGACGATGCTGAAGGGAGAGAAAATGCTCTGATCTCTGACTCAGACAGCATGGCTGTGTCCCCCGAGGACACCTTGGGGACATTAAGTTTGATGGAGAAAAAACAGGAATCAGACCTCTGACCAATTTGTCGCCTTTAGTGATTTCCAAGGAAGCCTCGGGTCTTTCTAAAAGGTAATTATTTAAGTACAGTCTTTGAACAGGACGAAGAGTCCTTTGATTCTACTTTCCAAATACCTCAAAAGCTTAGTAACAACAGCAAACTGCTCAGCTGGGGCTCTCTCATCTTGGCACTGGCGCCATCTCCTGGCCTAACCGAAACACAGTCTCCTCCGAGAGGCCTTAGCCAGCCAAGGGCTCCAGGCAGCTCTGTCCCAGTTGTCCACCAAAGAGCACAGCCCTGTGGAACGGCAAGCCCATGGCTGTCCCACGTTAAAGCAGAACCAGCCAACCCTTGAGCACTTGTCACGGGCCTTGTGCTTTAACTCTCTGGTTACTCAAACCAACTGTTTGTGACAGCCACTTTTTTTTTGGAGAGGTTTTTGCTAAAGGGTTCATGTGCTTGCTAGAAATCACCCCCCAGGGGCAAGGGCCACACCGTAATCCTCCATTCTCCTCTCGGGATCTTGGGCAGGCATGCACACACACCAGGCATAAATTTAAGCCACCGGGTCCGGGACTCAAACTGCGGTCGACTACATGGGAGTCCAGTGACATAGCCATTACGCCAACTGCTATTCCCTGTGACAGCCACTTTTAAGGTCTCCCATGTTACAGACGAGATCACTGAGGTTTGGAGGTCTAAATCACATGGTCGAGGTTACAAGGCTGGTAAGAGCTGAAGTGTGAAGGCAGGCAGTCTGACTCAGCACTTTGTTCAGCCAGGGGGTGGTGCACTTGCCAGAGGGTGGGGAGAAAGCACCCCCCAGTGGCCTTCGTCGTGCCACAATCCTTTTCCCTGCATTTCCCCATCCTGTTGGGACGTGGGGCACACATGCACATGCACCTGGTGTTTCTTGAACTGCCAGGGCCGATATCCAACATGGTCAGCCCTGTGAGACCTAGCCCCAGTGCACAGGGCTCAAACACTGCGCTGGAGGCCGGCCCTCGGCATCATCTTTATATGAAACTTGTCGCCAGGTCACATCCACACAACCCAAGAAGTGGGGATCCATGCGGAGTGGGGAAGCCTGCAAACCAATGGGCAAAACCAAGTACAAGACCAGTGTTGACGACGGAAGATTGGAAATACGTGTTCGCTGGAAAACGCCTTTTTCTATGTTTGACATTTTGTCATAAAATGTAGGAAAAGTTAAGTGAAGGGCCAGCAAGTGGTGTGCTAGATCCACACATGGCCAACTGAGGTTCGAGTCCTAGACCAGGTAGCTTGAAAATCACAACAAACAGGTAAATAAGAAAAATTAAAAAAAAATAATAAGTAGAAGAACATAGCCCGTCTTCTCCATGGGGTTTCAACACTCTACTTTCAAGAAAAGCAGCTTTCTAACGGGAGGCACAGTAAAGGTTTAACGGTAGACTACGGCTTGACACTTATTAAAACACATTCAAGCTCGTCCTCTCTTGAACTAGAAGATGCATCATGCATCAGGATTTTGAATACTTGCTGAGCCCCGACTGCCTGTAACATACAGTACAGGGCCCAAGAGGAGACCGAAGTTTACGAGCCCCTCAAAGACTCACTACCTCTTAGGAAAGGTGAAAAGACTTTACGTTTAGTGATCTCACAAGTACTTACTGGCTCATTTTTAGCAAAAATGCAGCACATCTTTATGCTGTGGGTTCTGGGCACTGGACGACCTTGCCTCATCTAAGATTCACACCCCAATGTGACAATGGAAAAGCCCCACACTCCTGCGTTCCTGCAGCCCACGGCCAAACTGGGATTAGACAATGTCTTAATTCACCAATAAAAACTACCTATCCCCTTGAAGATGCAGCTAGGCCCAATCCTGGAAAGGAACCCTTTAAAAGGCCCGTGATTCAGACCCACTGTTATCTTCAGACGGTCACTAGCCTGTAAGAATATCGAAACTGGTACAGCTGACACAACTCTTCCCACCTCAAACGAGAGTCAGCTGCTGAGGTCATGGGCCTGAACCTCCCCTCATGGCAGCCTCCTCCGTCTGCAAGGCCCTCCTGCGAGCACAGACCGCAAGACCAGGGCTGATTCTGAAGGGGAGGAGACAACGCGCTGTAAGCAGTTAACCTCATAGCCCCGATTTCTTTTTCTGCTCACCTGTCTTTAGAGTTCAAAAAATATTCAAGCTAAAAAAACAGGGCTAAAGAGCTAAGGGGTGAGATTTCATGTGAACTAACAGAATTTAAACCACTGAGCCCAGGCGGTCTCTTACGGTAAAAAGCTTTATTTTCATCACTTTGTATGAGGCAGCAAACACATCTTACATCAGCGATACCCGATATTCACACTCGGCAGTTAAGATTTCCCCACCACCCCGAACAGAAAGGCCGAAGCAGCATTTGTGATCACAGGTAAAAATACAACAGGAGCCCTGGAAGCCAAACGTCAAGCTGGATTGCATCTGAGAGACTCACCGGCTGGGAATTTAAAGTCCCACGAAGAGAAAAGCAACACTCAACACGGTCACACCGCAGCATGAGCGGGCAGCCCCCAGGCATGGTGTGGGCCCTGACTCAAGGCCACAAAAGCTCCACCCACTGGGGCCGTGCAAGGTACGCCCCTAAAAGGCCCACCATTCAGGTGCTGGAGTCACTAGGAGGTCTCTCAGCAAAGCCAGAAAGCACTGGGGACATGAAGACAGGAATGAAGAAAGTCAAAGAAAAGCCACGTGGACTCTGCCTGCCTTCTGGAGGCTGGCCCGCCACCTGGCAGGAACGGCCACAGCTCAGAACGCCCCTCCTAAAGTGTGAGGTTCCTGCAATTCCCGAAGGGCTGAAGTCGCCATTCGCCATCAGAGCCTAACGCAGACTCCGGCAGGATGACAACCGCCAAGGTCCTGGTGTAGGGCAGGAGAATAGAGGGAGCTCAGGAGACAATCTTCAAAACATCTTTATTACAACATACAGCACGGGGTCGGCAGACTGTGTCCAGTACTCCCCGACAGATGCTGCTGGGCGAGGTGCTGTGAAACCCGGCAGCCACCCCAGGAACCTAACTTCCCTAATCACGTCAGTCCCTCAGGGTCACAGAAAACTGCAACGGGCAGTGGAATGGAGGCGGCAAGTCACCGCGGATGGCTGGGCTGTCAACTGCTGACAACGGCATCATTTTCTCCAGGGGTTGAGATCCACGTCCCTGGCCGACGACCCACCAAAGCGGGGACCCAGATTCGTACAGAGACGAGGCCGAGTGGAGAGGAAACAACCCCAGGCATCCAGAAGCCTGGGCCGCTACTTCTTGTTCCTGGGCTTTAGCTCTTCAGCTGCATTCCGCAGGAAAATGTAGTTTTTCTTTTGGGGATTATAGAACTCATGTCCCTGAAGAGGAGAAAAAACAACCTCATCACTACAACCCACAGACAGCACCCCGCGGGCATGCTGAAATGCCGTGGCCTGTGCCCCACGCTCAGCTCACAATCTCTGGTGGGAACCAAACAGAACCAGGACGGGGAGAAATCCAGTCAGATGTTAAACACAAACACAGTCCTCCGAGTCAAGGCCAAGAGCTTGGCGCGAGTGTCACATGCCCGCTGAGTGGCGGCCTGGGACACATTTGTCCTTTCAGGGCCCACGACTTCAGTCCCTGTGCCTGCCCCTGCCCCGGGGTGCCCGGACCAGGGGAGGTCCACAGAAGAGAGGGCTTCTGACCTGGGACTGCACTGGGGGTGAGGACCCAGGACAGTCTGGCAGGAGCATAGGAGCCTCTGCTGTGCCTGTGCCAGGGCAGGAGGACTGGCAGACATCGGCAGAGCCCGAGAAACCAGGATGAGGCCCAGCTGCAAAGGGCTGTGAGATTGCGCTGCGGGGAAGGAGTGGCGGCCACCGGGCTGGAGCAGGTGGGTGGCACCATCAGACTTGGCTTTTGGAAGGGAGCAGTGGGTAAGCCAGACAGCAGGGAAGAATGGTGACAGGCAAGATGCCCAATTTTGATGTGGAGGCCACGCTCCTCTGACCTCAGCCAGGCAGAAGAACCACAGAAGCGCACTAAGTGCTCTGTCTCTGCTAACCTGAGTGTGCAGCTCCTGTGAGCGGACGAGCAGCGGCCAGCCTGTGCCGCGGAGTACTGTGCAGCACCGAGGTGGGCGGCTGAGCACGCTGCCCACCAGCACAGGGGATTAAACTTGTCAGGCCAAGGGAGAGCAGCTGGAGAAATGGAGTGTGGTGCACGACTCTGCTTACAGGAAGTTCTAGAAAACGCTCACTGGTCTGTAGGGATGGAAAGTAGACCAGTAGATCTGTGTTGGGTTGGGGGACTTCAGTGACACAGTGGAGACCTAAGGAGATGAAGACCTGGCTACCTGGCCAGGCAAGGGCATGGGCACTTACAGATGCTGGAACTGACTCATGTCCATACTCAAACACTGGAACTTAACTGCTTTCAGTAAAGGTGCTTTCAGAAATAGGGAATGGAGGCCGCACGGCTCTCTATGCAACCCTCCAAGCATGTACTCACCAGGCAGGGGAGTGCAAGGAGGGTGGGGCGGGGCAGTCAGCTGGACTTCCAGCTCTGAAGTTGGGTTCACGCGGGGAGACCCAGGAGCAGCCATCCTGTCCAGATTGGAAGTATTGAAAGAAAAGCAGGAAGAGGGGCCAGGAACCAAGCTAGAAACTAATGTCCCGGGCATGGGTGGGCAGGCTGGTGCCTGTGGAATCTAAGCACCTAGAGGACCTGGAGCGGGGCCAGCCAGGCCGGACAGTCAGGGGCAGCATGTGAGAGGAGCCAGCAGAGGAGGGACAGTCTGAGAGAGGAACGGCAGAGAAACCAAGCGAGAGCATTTGGAAGGAGGGACCAGGGACCCCTCTTCCCTGGACAGGAAGCTTCCAGAGTGGACCAGAACAACATGGCCCTCAGACCAAGTGCAGCCGCTAACACGCTCACCAGACTTCACAGTAAAGGGGGGGTTTCTAGGGTTGCTCATGTGCTCAGCAGAGGGAAGGGCTGGCGGACCAGGCAGAAGATTGTTGTCTGAACAGAGCAGACAAGAATACCACCCAGACACTGGATGGGGAATCTCGTGTGGGTGGGCAGGCCATGGGATGACCGGGAAGACTGGCAAGGAGACGGCATCCCTGCTAAACCCGTCACCCCAGTAAGCAAGGCAGGAGGCAAGAGCAAGGGCCAGTCCGCACAGGCCTGGGTGGTACACACAGAAGACTGCAGATCTCCTCTGAGCAGGACCAAGAAAGGCTTCCTGCTCAGCGGATGGCAGGACCTGAGGTGCTCCTGCCTTTGCACTCCAGGGCTCACACCAGCAGCTTTCAGACTTGGACTGAGCTGGGTTCTCCAGTCTGCAGGCAGCCTGTGGGCTGACTCCCCCAGTAAGCGCCTCTTATATCCTACACACATCCTCTCGGGTCAGCCTCCCTAGAGAACCTCGACGAGTTCACCAGGCCCAGGATCCCAGGGCCCAGCTCCGCACCTCTGCACCCAGAGCAGGCCGGGACCTCACCTTAGACCAGTCGTAGCTGGATGCATATGCAAATATGTTCCCGTTGTGGTTGAAGCAGCAGGCTGATATCGGCTGGTCCAACTGTTCCGAGGTCTTTAGCTTTGTCCTGGCATCTTTATCCCAGAAGCTGAATCGACCATCAGACCCCACTGTTGCAAGGGTGCCGTGGACGGGATGGAAGGCAATTCCATTCACCTGCAAGGATCGAAGTGCACAGTGAGGAGATGTGCAGCGGGAAGCGGGGTCTGCCATGGCATGCCTCCTGCCCCGGCTGGGAAACTGAGCACGGGCTCCATTAGAGCTGGCGCCCCATGGCTCAGAGCTGGCCACCAGGCTCCTCAATCGACTGCCAGCCTGACACCAAACCTTGTCTCCTGCAACAAAAACATGGGTTTATGTTTATGTGTGCATGGCTGGTGATGGCACGGAGCACATCTTGGGAATTTTTTTTTTTAAAGCACACAGCAACTCCTTGGCCTTAGCTACTACTGGTCTAAGTTCACAGAGGAGGGAGGAGACTCTCCCAAAAGTCTTAGCTTCCAGAGAAACAGAAAACAGAGTAGGCACTATGTTCACGTAAACTAATGCCAGAGAGGCCCGGCAGGCGGTGTGGGGCTTAAGGCTTTGGACTCCCACATGGCCTGGACCTAGCAGCATGAAACCACATCGGGCACAGAAGCCCCAAACCCAAGATGGAATGTAGTGGGGTGTGGTGTGGCCCCTTAGACCCACAGGGCAAGCCGCCACAAGGCTCAAACACGCTCGGGCTTCTTGGTGCCTGTCAGTGCTCAGGGTAACCAGTTCAGATCCCAGTAACCCAGCAGCCATGCCAAGTGTGGCTCCCAGAGGTATTCTCCAGGGGCGAGTCGAGTGTCTAAGAACGCACCGCGTAGATGTCCTGGGGGGCTGACGTGTTGGTTCCATTAGATCGATGACACTTAAAGGTAAAGTTGTCTTTGGCTCTGAAAAATAAAGGCCAAGCTAAGTTTTCCTTCTGGAATCAAAGTCTCAAGTGAAAAACTGCAAGTTGACAGTTCCACTTACGGATTTGGGGGGTTGATGTAGTGAATAGCAACTCTCCCCTCAATACTTCCCAGGGCAAATCCGGTCGGCTTGTTCTGTTTATCTTTAAAAATCGCCACACACCGATGCTACGGTTCAATAAGAAAAGGAGTTACCACACGTAAAACCAAAGACATAGCCCACTTCTGGGTTTCAGAGGAACCTGAAACGTAACACAAACATGAGGCGTTTCCACTCCCCAGTGAGCACTACTCTCAAACACCTGCACACACTCAGGTGTGTGACTCAGGTGTGTGACTCCGTGTCCAACCCGCACACCGGTGCTCCCCTCCAGCTGCCCTCCTCCCTGCCTCTGGAAGGCCACGTGTCCAACAAAGCAGGTAGTTCCAGCTTCTCCACTCCTCCTCGAAACTTAGCTTTGACTTTTTATTAACGGCGGTTTTACACCTTGTTTTTACTGCATTTCTCTGACAAGCAGCTACAGTGACATCTTTTTATGCACCTGCTGGCTACCTCATTTGCATGTCTTCTCTGGAGGAATGCCTAGTCAAGTCTTTGGCCCGTCGCTTCGATGAGTCATTTCTTGTTTTTCCTCCACTGAGTTGTAAGAGCTCCCTCCTTCTACGCTACGGAAACCAATGCCTTGTCAGACACACACTTCACAAATGAAAATTTCCTCTCACCCCAGAGCTTGCCTTTTCACTTTAAAGTTTCCTTTGTTGTGCGAAAGCTTTTCAGTTCAACGCAGTTCCACTTGTCCATTTTTGCCTTTCTGTCTGAAATTCTGGTACCGTATGCAAGACATAATGGCCAAGACCAGTATCATGAAGTTTTGTGGGTTTTTTGTTTGTTTTTTTTTTTAAATCTAAGTGCTTCCAGAGAAAACTTGGATTGGATGTGGCAGGAGGAAAGGAGAGGAATGAACAGATTCCAAACCCAGACTTTCAGGGTGCAAGTGAGGGAGGCTGGTGACTAATGAGATGAGAGAGGAGAGAAGGAGAGAGAGTGAATCAGGATGACCTCCAGACTTCTGGCTTAGACAGATGAATTGTGGTGGTCCCACTTAGTAAGGTGGGGAGTGCCCTAGGAGGGACGGGCTGGCAGCGAGGGAGAAGGAAAGGAAAGGGGGATACGGAGGTCAGGCTAAGATCGACTGTTCACAGGTAACGGTCACAGAAGGCCCTCCCTCGATCAGGCCCTGCTCCAGTTACTGGGAGCAGGGCAGCACAAATATGAACAAAGCCTCTGCTCTCACTGAGGTCACACTGCAGGGACGAAATAACACCCGACCAGTAAAATACAGACTATATATATGTTGTATACTTGTATATAAGATTTTATGTGGTGGGATCAGAAGGTGGCATAGTGGTTAAGGTGCTGAACTCCCACATGGTCAACCATAGTTTGAGTCCTCGACTTGGCAGCTTGAAAATCGCATTGGGTATGTGTGCACGTGTGCCCAAAATCCCAGGAGGAGAATGGCAGAGAAGGAACTGCAGAGTGGCCATTCTCCCAGAGGGTCGTTTCTCATGTTCCTCTTACTGTTTCTCCCCTTTCCGGCTAGTGCACGCGCCTTTTAAAAAACGATCTGTAGTAACAGGGACGGTGTTCAGGAGAATCCCGAGAGGACAACACTTGACCAAAGAGCTCGGGAAAGGTCCAGGTTTGGTGAGACTGTTGACCAGAGGAGCTTCAGACTAGGGGTGTGCTTGTCAGAGGCAAGATCTATTGGAAACCCAGGCCTCCAGCCCCCCAGAGTGTGACTAAGAGACAACAAACACAAAGGCAGCAGCCTAGGGCAGACACCTAAGGAAACTCACCCTTTGGCAAGGAGCTCCCAAGAAAGACAGCAGCAGCCAGAGAGGAGGGTGCTAGGAGGCGGGCACTGTGGGGCCTGGAACAGAATGCCTGCAGCCCCAGAAGAGTGGGGAGCGGAGCGGTATTGAAGGAAGATGGCGACTCTCAGTCCATTGGAACAACCAATGAGGAAGCCATTGGCATCCAGGCCAGAAACAGTTTCAGTGAAGGAAGAGGCAGAAGTCTCAACAGAGTGGCCTGAAGAAGTCACATAAGGTC